AAGAAGAAAGCCAGGAGGAGACACACGGGATTGTAAAGGAGCCCCCCGGCTTGGCAGAGGGGCCCTTGGCAGGCTCAAGCCTTCACCCCCCGAGGCTTTGGGCCTGTTTGCTTCTTGCGGCCCCCGGGACCAAGGGGTGGGGCCCCGTGTTGTCCCTCCCTCCGCCACCTTGCCCCTGTTGGCCCCAGCGCCGGCCCACCTTAGCCAGGTGGGGGCCACGCTGCCGGGAGCTCCTTCCTTCGGGTCTTCGGGGGACACTGGCCGCCCTCCCTGGGACGCAGACGGGCTGGGGGACTCCCCTGCATTCCCTTCCCCTGCTGGGGGTCCCCTTCCTGGACCCTGGGGGTGGGGGAGGGGCAGGAAAAAGGGGGGCACAAGAAGCTGAGACCCATGTCCTCTCAGGGACCCCAAGCAAAGGAGTGCTTCACCCTGAAATTTTGACCCTGAATGTGGACATCGAGACGGAGATTGTGCCCGGCCGTGAAGAAGAAGGCCCCTGGGGTAGGGCCGGGAGGGCCTGCGTGCAGAATGGGCTGTGGGCGGGGTCAGGCTCCCGCACAGTGACTGTGTGTGTCTGCGAGCATGTCCCCCAGCTGTGGGCAGACCCTCCCCTGTGGTGCGACAGGCCTGTGCACCCCTGTGAGCAGTCCCACCCTGTGGGCGTGGCCCAGTCCCTGGGTGTGGACGGGCCTGGGACAGTGTCTGCCCTTACGTGCAGGACACACCTCTGTGGTGTGTGTGGGCGTGCACATGCACCTGTGTGTCCGTGTGCTTGTGTGTGACCCCATGGGTGCTCCCTTTTCCACTGGGAAGGCGGGTGGAGCTGGGGCCCTGGGTCGGGCGGGGGGTGTGACTGCCCCCTAACAGACACAGCTCCCGTCTGGGGCAGGGAGGTGCTGCTGCCCATATTTGAAAGGAAGGGCATCGCACTGGGCAAAGTGGACATCTACCTGGACCAGTCCAACACCCCCCTGTCCCTCACCTTCGAGGCCTACAGGTTCGGGGGACACTATCTGCGGGTCAAAGGTGAGCAGCTGGCTGGGTGGGGAGTGGGGGCGCCTGGTTGGGCCTCCTGGAGATGGCGCTTCTCCCAGGCTCAGGTTCCCATTGGCATGGCCCTGAGCAGGCTCATTACCATACAGGTGTCTGCTGGGCGGTGCAGGGCGGGGCCTTGGGGAGGGCAGCTCGGCCTTGGTTTGGATCCTCGGGGAGAGAGGACCCGAGCCCCCTCTCCCACCAGACCTGGGTGTTGAGGACCTCTCCTTGCCCCCTAATGCTGCCCCAGCCAAGCCGGGGGACGAGGGGAAGGTGGAGCAGGGAGTGAAGGACTCCAAGTCCCTGAGTCTGCCCATCCTGCGGCCAGCCGGAGCCGGGCCCCCGGGCCTGGAGCGCGCGGACCCCCAGAGCCGCCGGGAGAGCCTGGACATCCTGGTGAGGAGGAGGGTGGGGAAGGGCCCCGGGGAGGTCAGCTGGGCCCTCATTGCTCCTTCCTGGGGCTTTAACCTCCCCTCCTGGAAAACGGGGCTGGCTCTGGGAACAGGGGGCCCTTTTCGGGATCTAAGGTGGTAGGTCTGTCTCCGAGAGTCAGCTTGTGCCCAGCGAGTGTGTGTGTGTGTGTGTGTGTGTGAGTGTGTGTGAGTGTGTGTGTGTGTGAGTGTGTGTGTGTGAGTGTGTGTGTGTGTGAGTGTGTATGTGTGAGAGTTTGCGTGTGTGTGTGAGTGTGAGTGTGTGTGTGTGTGTGAGTGTGTGTGTATGTGTATGCAATTATTATATAACATTATAATATGTAACTATCATAATTATAGAACAATATCAATAATATTTCATACAATAATATTCTTATGTGAGAATGCACCTTAATTTGAAAATACACCAGAT